GTTAAAAACCCCAAAGACTCCTCCATCAAAAGTTTACTAGACTTAATGAATTAGGCCAAGTAGCAGGATACAAAATCAACATCAAGAAATCAACAGCATTTTTATACACCAATGATAAATTTACTGAAAGAGAAACTAAAAAAAACAATCCCGTTTATCATCGCAGCAAAAATAGAAATAAAGGACCTATTTGCAGAAAACTACAGGTCATTGAAAAAAGAAATAGAGGAAGATATGAAAAAGTGGAAGGACATACCTTGTTCGTGGATTGGAAGAAATAACATCATTAAAATGTCCATCCTACCCAAAGCAATCTATAGATTCAATGCAATCCCCATCAAAATACCAATGGCATATTTCACAGAACTAGAACAAATACTTCAAAAGTTCATGTGGAACCAAAGAAGTCCCTGAATAGCCATAGCAATTTTGAAAAAGAAGGACAAAGTAGGTGGGATCACAATACCAGAAATCAGGTTATACTACAAAGCCACTGTAATCAAAACAGCCTGGTACTGGCACAAGAACGGGCCGATAGATCAATGGAATACAATAGAGAACCCAGAAATGGACCCAATACCATATGCTCAATTAATATTTGACAAAGGAGACAAGAGCATTCAGTGGAGGAAAGATAGCCTCTTTAGTAAATGGTGTTGGGAAATTGGACAGCTACATTGAAAAAAATGAAACTAGAACATCAACTTACACCATGCACAAGAAGAAACTCAAAATGGATAAGAGACTTAAATGTGACTCATGAATCCATAAAAATCCTAGAAGAAAATGTAGGCAACAAAATTTCAGACATCATACACAGCAGAATTTTCACTGATACATCACCTAAGGCAACAGAAACAAAGGAGAAAATGAACACATGGGACTACATCAAACTCAAAAGCTTCTGCACAGCAAAAGAAACAACCACTAAAATGGAAAGGCAACCCACTCTATGGGAGTGCACAATAGCCAATGATCTATTAGATAAGGGGTTAATTTCCAAAATATATAGAGTGCTCATACAGCTTAATAAAAGTAAGACAAAGAACCCAATTAAAAAATGGGCAGAGGAGCTAAATAGACACCTCTCCAAACAGGACATACAAATGACTAAGAGACATATGAAGAAATGCTCAACATCACTAATCATCAGAGAGATGCAAATTTAAACAACAATGAGGTATCACCTCACACCTGTCAGAATGGCAGCCATCAACAAATCATCAAACAACAAGTGTTGGCGATGGTGTGGAGAAAAGGGGACTCTAGTACACTGCTGGTGGGAATGCAGACTGGTGCAGCCACTATGGAAAACACTGTGCTGTTACCTCAAAAAATTAAAAAGTGAACTGCCGTTTGACCCAGTGATCCCTCTTCTAGGAATATATTCTTCAAAGCCTGAAACACCAATCAGAAAGAATATATGTACTCTCATGTTCATAGCAGCACTATTTACAATAGCTAAGATCTGGAAACAGCCCAAATGTCCATCAGCTGACGAATGGATGAAAAAGCTGTGATACATATGCACAGTGGAGTACTATGCAGCTGTAAGAAAAAACTCTCTCTTATACTCTGAGACAACATGGAGGGACCTGGAAGCTAAACAAGCCAAACAGAGAAAGACAAGTATCATATGAACTCACTTATTTGTGGAATATAATGAACAAAACATTCTGAAGAACAGGGCAGTCACAGATATGTGGAAGTGGAGTACAGCCTGATAGTCCTCAGAAGAGGTGTTGGCAGGGGAGAGATAAACCACAGAACTTATATGCATGGACATAGACAACAAAGCTGGGGACTGGGTGGGGAGGGAGGGGGAGGAAGGTGGGGGGGGGGAGAGACTTCTGTGACAAAAATTAATTAATTAATTAATTAATAAAATAGAGAAAAATGTTGCCAGAAGAAAAAGAATCGAGATAAAAAATAAAGCATCATACTTGTGGTGTCATATCAATTTGCATTTTTGTTTTGTGATCAAAGCAGGATCTTTAGAATGTGGATAGTGTGTTGCCAAACCTAGTAGACCAAGTTTGATATGTGCATGTTTGGGGATTCTAGATTTTTATTTATTTTTCAGACTTTGGATGATATATTTTCATATTATAACAGTACTTTAGTTTTCTGAGATTTAAATTTCCTCATTTCTAAACATAGTTTCAGTGCCTCTTATTTTTGTCTTTATGTTTGTGAACACAGCATCCTAATCATAGCATGGCATATTTTTTTGATAATGCTATAAACCATTATTAACGGGGTGATTCATTTGACCTTGTTTTCTGCCAACTCCACCTACCTTGGAATTTGCTTTTATGATTAAAGTTCTTTTGTCTGTGTACTGTCTTGATGTTTGCTTCTTTCTCATCAAAGACTAAGGTGGAAAAGTCATGTGTTGCACCTGTTTTGCAAAGTTTTGGAAGAAATAATCAAGAACTTCCTTGACTTTACCAAAACAATCATTTTTATTGTCCATTGTCAATGTTAACTTTTAAAAATTTATTAAAAAGTTTATTTAAAACATAATTTTAACTGCTAATGATGACTGTGTTCAAAATGTTGCCTAGAACTTGATATGTAGTATATAAAATAATCATATTTAAATATTTCTTTTTCAATAGAATTTAATAACCTTAATTTGTGTAATTCTCTACACAATTCAACATGATTTTTAAAAAATTTTAAAGCATTTTAAACAAAAAGATTCAAAAATTATCTATTTGCAGATAGATTTAGATTTATATTTAAACATGTTCTTGACTATAGATATCTAGTTGCAATTTAGTAACAAGAGCATGGGTTTCATAAACTTATAGATATTTGAAATGTTTTAGAAAACTGGTCGTCATAATTTTCACATACTTTGTTCTTTCACCCAGCTAGCTAATTCATGTATGTCACCTCAGTTTGCAGTCCCATATACATTAAGGTTTCTACCCTATATCAGCATTGTTTGAGCTTTGTGTGTGGAGTTTATAATAAAGACTGGTCTCTGGGGTCTTTTGACTTTTCCGGAAGGTAGAAAACATAAACTAGAGTGTTTAATACGGTGGTTAGTATGATACAAATTTAAGAATGTGAAAATAAATATATTGTAAATAGAGATTAGACTTTATGGAGATGGGTCTTTCACTGTGTCCTGAAAGAGATATAGGATTTGAATGATAAAAATAGGGAAGAAATTTCAAATTTAGAACGGGTTAAGGCATAAAGAGGTAGGGGTGTGTGTATGTGTGTGTGTACATATATTATTATTTTTTTTAATCCTTACCCGAGGATATTTTTCTGTTTATCTTCAGATAACTTGGAAGGGAAGGAGAGAGGGAGAAACATCAATCAATGTGAGAGGGACATATTAGGCTGCCTCCCACAAGACCCCGACTGGGGCTGGGGACAAACCGCAACCAAGGTTCTGGAATTGAAACTGCAGTTCTTTGGTCCACAGGCGGACGTTCTAACCGCTGAACCAAACTGACCAGGGTGGTAAACATATATATACACACACACACACACACACACACATATACACACACACACATATATATATATTTTTTTAATATGTTTTTATTGATTTTTTTTTTTTTTAGAGAGAAAGGGAGAGGGAGAGAGAAACATCGATATGAGAGAGATACATCGATCGGCCACCTTGCATGCTCCCTACTGGGGATCCAGCTCACAACCCAGGCATGTGCCCTATCGAACCCGGACCTCTCAGTCCATGTGACCATGCTCAATCCACTGAGCCACACCAGCTGAGCAGTGAACATATTTTAAAAGAGTGATTAAGTCCAGTTTTTTTTTTTTTTTTTAAGTATGCATTTTATACTATACTCCTTATTTTCACAATTTATGCCAAGTTCAGTTGCTGTTTTTTCCTAGCTTTGGCACACTGTTACTATAGTTCTGCCTCTGATAATGTTGCGATGCCCAGATTGATAGCTTATATAGCACAAGTGTTTAAATTACGTGCAGAAATTTGTCTGGGTGGGAACAGAGCAGATACACTGGCTAGAAATTCACATCTACAGTTGCCAAGAGGGAATTGCTTTATAAATTATATGCTCTTCTTTCTTATTCCCAAAACTGGTCCGGATCTAAGCAACCTCAAGTGGAATGTAGCCTTACTGGGGAATTTCTTATGCTATGGCCTTGGCATTCTTGTGATTTGGAGGATATCTGGAAAGAGAGGTTTAGAATTAATCTAAAGATACAGTGATCACCCTGAACAAGATCATTTGAAGAACCACCTCTAACTTCTTAAGACCCTCTTTATTCATGTGAATCAGCAGAATATGATCACTCTCTGAGGATTGAAGACATTTTGCGACAGAATTTGTACTGTGATGGTAAACTTGTTCAATTTACTGGATCATCCCTTCTGTGGTAAATAAAGAGGTAGCCATAGGTATATGCCCTCTCTGTTAGAAGGTGACAAAGGAAGCATATGATAAAGTGTCATACCTGTTGCTAGTGGTTCTTGGCAGCAGAGACCTCAACTATTACAATCTACATTTCTGTACTTTCTGTTCACATACTAAAATGGATTGAAATCAGAGAAAGATTACCAAAGATATGCCCAGTTGAAAACTTTTGTTAGGTGGTTCCAATTGGAACTATAGCTTGCTACATATTAGTAATTTGCCAGATTTGGTCAAAATCAACTCCCTTTAAATCATTTAATCTCTTTAAAAGTTATTATGGAAAGAAAAAGCAGTACTGAACAGTTGAGTTGATAAAAAGACCTTTCTTTGACCAGATTATGGTTAAAACTAGCCAACTATATATTTTTATTTTTAAGAGAATTTTTCAGTTAATCATATTTCTCTCAGATGTATTTTATGGTCATATATTATGTCTGTAGTAGGCATATGAAAGTTGTTTTAATTAGGATTTTAGGGGTACTTTGATCAGCCAAAATAATAATATTTCCTAAAAGAATTTCTCTTATTCTAACAGATACTAACTCTAAAAAGTTGTTTTTGTTTGTTTGTTTTTTTCAGTCGGCCGTATACTAACAAGGTCATAACTTTATGGTACCGTCCACCTGAACTGCTGTTGGGAGAAGAACGATACACACCAGCTATTGATGTATGGAGCTGTGGGTAAGACAGGCTTATTGACTCGTTTAATTTACTTGAAACTTTTGTGAGTGTATCATTTGGTAACGATGAGTATTTTTTTCATTAGATGTATCCTTGGTGAACTCTTTACTAAAAAACCTATATTTCAAGCAAATCAGGAACTTGCACAACTAGAATTAATAAGGTAAGCTCATGATTGTAATATTTGCTGGGTGGAGGTTGTTATACTCTATAGGAAATTTAAAATCCGTCTTTTTTCAGGAGTAGAAAAGCATGATTCTATTGAAGGCTCTTATGATTGCAGAATGGATGAGAAACTAGAATGCAGGCACTTTGATACTTGATCTAGTAAAATTAAGGATCTTAATGTCCTAAATCTTTTTTGTGATTAAATCAAAGGGCATGAGCCCTGCCGGTGTGGCTCAGTTGAGCATTGTTCCATGGACCAACAGGTCACCGGTTCGATTCCTGTTCGGGTCACATGCCTGGATTATGGGCTCGATCCCCATTGGGAGATGTGCAGGAGGCAGGTGATTGATGATTCCCTTTCATCAATGTTTCTATCTTTCCCTCTTCCTTCCTCTCTTTCTAAAAAAATCAATAAAAACATATTTAAAAAATAAATCAATAAATCAAAGGGCTTGAGCTTGAAAAGATAAGGTTGGGAAGAAAGAGAAAATATGAGGGAGGAGAAAATGAATGGTAGATATATTTTTAAGTATAACAGAATGGAAGAATTAATGTTTTGAGATATTGCAGAGAAATACTCTTATTATATATACATCTGTGAATATATGTTTATATGTATATGTGTATACACAGAAAAATATATTTATCCACTAGCATAGATCTTCATTATTTGGAGCCTGTCATAGGACCTAAGTTATAAGAAGTTATCAGATATAGTCCCCTTTCTTTTCATCTAATATTTTAAAATAATTTTTTAAAAGAGCATTTTTCAAATATAATAATGTTAATTTACAACTTGTAAGATTTGCATGAGTATTTCAAAATATAGATGAAAACTTTTAGAAAAGATACTGATATGAGACACAGATACCACTATACTATGGATTTTTCCTTCAACAGACTTATTGGATTAGTGTATGCTTTCTGTTTCTTCTTTAAATAATACTAGCTTAGATAACATGGCAAGCTGAATTTTTGTAGCTAGTAGGCTACCACTCTCTAGTAACTGTATTTATCCCAGCAGTTGAAGAATATGATGACCAAGAGGCAGTTGTTTCCGATCTTTTATGTCAACTTTTTATTATTGTATATTTGTCATTTAATTAAATATAGATAGATGCAGTACTTTGCAAGGACTTAACAAAGTTGCTGTCAAATTAATCAGGGATGGGCAAGTAGTTATAAGTTAGAAAGAAAAAAAATCATAAAAATTTAGAAGACACTCAAATTATTTTAAATCCTTGATCATGTGTATGGGAGTGGTTTGTGCAAAAAAGGTAATGTAGAATGCCATTCAGTGAATCCTCTGTTCAAAAAGAAAGCCTTGGCTTTATGTCAGGAGATGGGAAAGAAAATAAGTGTCCATTTATGAATTTTTAGTTAAAATAAAATGTTTAAATTATGTATCTGTGTATCTTTTTTCAATAAGTGATTTTCTCTAACCATTTTTTTCAGTTCACCTACTCTTTGTCCTGATTGTATTGTATACTAGGGTATCTAGTAATAATAAGTTCTTAGAAAGCATTGTTCTAAGATTTTCACCTGAATTGGCCTCAGTTAAGCTCTATAACAAGAATACTGGACCTTTGGAAGTATAAAAGTTGTCCAGTGTCAAACAACTAGCATGGTGACAAAATTGAAATTTAAATATATACAGTTTTACCCTAATATCTAAACTTTTAACCAGTTCTCAGTGCTGTGTAGGAAATAAAACTTTCTGCAACTTTTTACAAAGTCATTTTGACACAAACACCAAATTGACAAAAACAACATGAAAATTTTCTATACAGTGTAAGTCCACAAATTTTAAAGGAGGGATTAGCTGATAGTGTCTAGCTTTCATTAGAAAATTAACTTGCAGTAAGTCAAGTAAAGTTCATCTCAAGAATACAAGGATGCCCTGGCTGGTTTGGCTCAGTGGTTATAGTGTCAGCCCAAGGACCGAAGGATCAAAAGTTTGATTCCTGGTCAAGGGCACATACCTAGATTGCAGGTTGGAACCCCAGCCCCGGTCTGGGTCATGTGGGAGGCAACCAATCGATGCGTCTCTCTCACATTGTTTTTCTCTTCACCCTACCCAAGAATCAATGGAAAAAACTATCCTCTGTTGAGGATTAAAAAAAGAATGCAAGGATGTTTCAGTTTTAGGAAGTTTGTTCTTACAACTCTTTATTTTAATGGAAGTAAAATAATAATTGGAAGGTGTTGAATAAGCATTTGCTAAACATATAAACTCACTAAGGAAGTGTGGAAAGAAAATGTGTATTACAAATTAGAAGCCTGAATAAAATTTAATAGTGAAATATCAGAAGTAAAGACAAGAATGAGAAAAAGTTGTGTTCTAGTATCATTATTTATTTGATTGCTTTATAAGTACTAACCAGTTGCCTAGTAGAACTAGAAAAGGGATCCAATAAGAAGTAGAATTAGTGAAAAAATAAAGGCAGTATTGTCATAATTTGTATATGATAACACTGCATATATGCATGCATGCATGCAGCATACAAGGGAATCATCTGAAACACCTTAAATAAAAAGTTTGGTAAAGTGACAAGTGTTAAGAAAATATGTGTGTGGGGTGTGTACACCTGTACACAAAAATGTACTAATATGTATATTATAATAATGCAAACATACTAAAAACAATAGCTTTTACAAAATATGAACCAGTAATAACCAGTTAGAAACATAGTGGGTGGGAAAGATGCTCTTTTAAAAATCACCACTATATATAACTCCAGGAATATTGAAAACTATAATGTCCCATTTAAAATTGTAAAGACCCAGAGACACAGAAAGGAGTACGGTTCAGACAGACAAACTTCAGAGGGGCGGGGCAGGGGGGAGCATGAGATAAACCAAACAACTTATATGCATGTATGTGTAACCAACAGACATAGCAGTGCGGGGGGTGGGGGGAGGTCAGGAGGATGGTGTCGGTGGGGGGGAACATCTGTAACAAAGATAAATTAATTTTTAAAAATCTAAAATAAAATAAAATTGTAAAGAAAATTTGAATAACTATTTGGAGAGGCATATCTTGTTTTAGGCTAGGAAGACTTAATTGTTTTTAAAGATTGTAATTCATCCTATATCATTATAGTTCTAATGAGAATTTCAAAAAACATTTTTTGAAATGATGATTGTTTTTAATATTCATCCTGGAGAGATAAATATGGAAATAACCAACAAAATTCTTAAAAAGAAGGAAAATTTGGCATATCATATATTAAAATAAATTAACCAGGAACTAATATAACTGTTTTTTACTGGCACAAGATACATAGATAAATCATTAGAATTATATGAAAAGGCCAGAAATAAAGCATGTTTATATGAACCTTAGATTATAAAACAGGAGGCATTTCAAATTAGGGTATTAATTGAACAGTATTTATTGATTGCTGGCTACTAGGTTCTTTCATGATACAGTGGAGGGTCAAGGTTATATCCTTAGTGCCTAGTAACTGGCACACAACTTTTTTTACTTTCTAGATGAAGAAGACAGACAAAACAATCAATAGAATATATCAAGTGGTAAAGGGATAGAAAATGATAGGAGGTAGTATTGTAGATAGTAAGGGAATGTCTGTCCCATAAGGTATCATTTGAGCACAGCTCTGAAAGAAATGAGGGAACAACAAAGTGTTAAGAACAGCAAAGCATGAGTGTACTTGAGTTATTTTATGAGCATGTTGATTCAGTTTAGTGTGAGCCACATGGGAAAAGAAAAAAAGCTCAGTCCATCCACTTAGTAGCTTAGTGTATAGTAGTATAAAAGTAAATGGAGGTACTGACATGGAAAAACAACATAATTCCATGAAAAGAGCGGTTTTCCAGAAGGCTCTGTTTGATTTGATGCCATTTAGGTAAAACAAACACGTCAAGAGTCTGGAATTGTTTATCTCAACATGGACCTGTTTTACTTTCTAGTTTATATATTTCAGAATGTTTTTGTTTTGTTGGTGAGATATCAAATATTTATTAAAACAGAAAAAGATGCTTCAATTTTGATTCTGTAACATTATTTTTAAAACATGAAGAAAAAAATGGAAGTTTCTGGTAAAAGAAACAAGTCTCCCTGATTTGAAGGAGGCAACAGAGTATATTGAAAGGGGTGGGCTTTGGAATCTTACAGACCTCGGTTCTAATGACCGCCCAGCTACTTCCTCCTCTTGTGACTTATGGTAAGTTCCGTAATGTTCTAAGTTTGTTTCTTCACAAGTAAAATAGGACTTATATGCTTAGGGTTGTAAGAATTAAATAAATGTAAGTTTTCTAATAATTCTCCCCCTCATCTTATTTGCAGTAACGCTGGGATATTTCTCCCATCTAAAAAAAAAAAAAAAGCCCTCCAGAATGATGAGTTCTAGAGTTTATATTGTAAAAATACATGTAAACTGATCAAGAGTGGGAATACTAATTAGAATCTGTCTTAAAGAGCTTTATACTACTACAGTAGTCAAGTAATCTGTATTTTGCCTTTTTCTAGAAAGGATCTTAGGTACATTACAAAAGTTTTGTGATAGAAGAGCATGGGTTAAAAAGTGATGGAAAGCCCTGGCCAGGTTGCTCAGTTGGTTAGAGTGTCCTACCAATACACCAATGTTGTGGGTTTGATTCCTGGTCAGGGCACATACAAAAATCAACCAGTGAATGCATAAGTAAGGGGAACAACAAATAGTTATTTCTGTCTCTCTCTCTCTCTCTCTCTTCACCTCCGCTCCCTTTCTCCCCCCTCCCACCTCTTCCTCCCTCTCCAAAATTAATTTTTTTTTAAGTGATAGAAAAAGAGAGTGAAAAACAAAGGTGAGGACAAAATGTGATGAATGAGGGCAAAAATGGTTTTACACAAGAGTTAAATCAGCACTTTTAAACTCTAAGACTTCTAGCAGCCAGCAAAAGAGCTTCAACGTATCACACAATGTATATTGCTTATGACACAAAAGACACTTATAATCATGGAAGAAATTAAAAATAGATTGGAGTGAAAAG